TTATAAGATTGTCTGAAGGCCCAAGAAAGATTAAAACCTAGAAGGATAATGAGAATAAAATCTCGCTCACTCTTACTCTACAAAACTGTAGACAGATATCACGGAGTTCCCACCTCCCAGAATAAAAGATGCCTGCAAAGGTGAGGCAAGTATGGAAAAGGTTTATGGAAAAAAGGAATCAGAAAAACAAAGACTGGGGGCCTGGAAAAGCAATTGAGGCTTGTCTTAGGGAGTCACAGGAATAAAGAGTACAGTTATCTGGAAGACAGAAAAAAAACAAAAGATAATTGAGCACCCAGAAAAACAGAGTCAATTGGTTTCATTTTTATTAACAGGTAAGTCTTAAGGATTTGAAAGGGAACAGACCTTCGACAATATCTCATAAGTAAAACAATATATAATTAAAGTTGCCGGATTACAAGATACAAGCTTCTAAACTCCATGAATTAGGTGAAAATTACGACTCTTTCTGTTCCCTGCCATTCAGTGAACGGCACAATTACTTTAACTCCAAAAGTAATACAATCACCACAGTAGGACTACTTTAAACTGATCCACACTTTACCTAAGTTACTTGGCATGAAGCAGACAGGGAGTCCAGTTTAGCATTTGGGGATTAAGGTTAAACACAGTTGGAAGCACTCTTAGGAGAGATGACAAGAACCAGAAGTTGGTTAGTTAATGGAAACAAGTTTGTTAGACAAGAAACAATTTTTTTAAAAAGATATTCCTTAACATTTTAAAAGACAAATCTACTTTTAATTACCTTTTTTTTGAAATGAGGCCATGGGTCTTATTTCTGAGCTTAAGTTTCTGAGTGTTCTGTTGTTCCACATTATACTGTTTTGCTTGTTGGGGAAGTCTGGGCGTTGAAGTTTGGTTCTTAAAAGGGAATCACTTGCAAAGCAATGCGTGTGGACAGTCCTTACAGATTTTCCCAAAAATCTTGGGAAATGTCTGGCCCACCTTTTTTTTTTTTTTTTTTTTTTTGAAACGGAGTCTCACTCTGTTGCCCAGGCTGGAATGCACTGGTATGATCTCAACTCACTACAACCTCTGCCTCCCAGGTACAAGCAGCTCACTGCAACCTCCGCCTCCTGGGTTCAAGTGATTCTCCTGCCTCAGCCTCCTGAGTAGCTGGGATTACAGGCATGTGCCACCACGCCCAGGTAATTTTTGTGCTTTTAGTAGAGATGGGGTTTCACCATGTTGGTCAGGCTGGTCTTGAACTCCTGACTTCATGATCCACCCACCTCAGCCTCCCAAAGTGCTAAGATTACAGACATGAGCCACTGCGCCCGGCCCCAACTCTTTTTCACACTCGTTTCAAGGTTGACGTAATACTTAACTGTAATTACAATAATAAGCCCAACTGGAATAACCAGATTTGGGAACAAACAATTGACACTTAGCAAGACTTCTGGGTGAAAGCCAAAGGGGACAGAGGTACTTCCCAGAGCTGCCCAGGACCTTTGTCCTAGCGTATCAGTCAGGACATTCTGCAGCCAACAGGACAAGTAGGATGGGTAGGTAAAAGGTGGTTAGGAGAGCTGCTACTACTGCAATCCTGGGGGAGACATGGACCAGTAACATCAGGATGATGACAGCAAAGCAGCCAGAATTCAGACAATGTGAGTCCTCACACCATCATGAGCAAGGGCAAATCACTAGCTTAAAAATGTTCAGTTGTCTGGGCGCAGTGGCTCACACCTGTAATCCCAGCACTTTGGGAGGCCGAGGCGGGCAGATCACCTGAGGTCATGAGTTCAAGACCAGCCAGGCCAATACAGTGAAATGAAACTCCGTCTCTACCAAAATACAAAAAATAGCCGGGTGTAATGGTGGGTGCCTGTAATCCCAGCTACTCAGGAGGCTGAGACAGGAGAATAGCTTGAACCCTGGAGACGGTGGTTGTAGTGAGCCACCACTGCACTCCAGTCTGGGCAGCTGAGCAAGACCCTGTCTCAAAAAAAAAGCAAACAAACAAAAATGCTCTCTAGCGTAGCCTTCACCAAGTGTTTTAACAAACTACACTTAATATGACATTCCTGTGTCTTCAATGAAAAAAAAAAGAAAGTTCCATTCTGAAGGTAACAGACACCAATTACATACTCCAAAAGATTTTCTACAGACACCAATTATATACTCCAAAAGATTTTCTTGTTCTGAAGGAGGAAAGTTTAACCTTTGGAGCAAGGTATATATTAACACTGGAGTTATTTCCAAGGCACTTGGAAGTGTATCAATAGCCTTCAGCCCAGCAACAGGGACTGGTTTAACCCACTTACGAGGAAACAGGCATTAGCAAGTACCAAATAATTCTAGTTGTCTATTTGGGCCAGTGTCTACAGGGACACGAGTTGGTTATTATCCAGGTTACTATTTTACTGTAGGTTAATATCTAAGTTGGATTACTTGTCGACGTAATCTTTCTCTCAAATTTTAGTGAAACTTTGGACTTCATTGTGTTTTCCTTCCGTATCCCTATACAGTGATAGGAGCCAAACTGCCACTGCCCTGCACTTAAGTAACACAGAGCAAGATTTTCCACTACTAGAAACAAGTAGCTGGAAAGCCATGTAAATATCGCAGGAAAGAAGAAATACAGCAATAAAATAACGTACAAATTTCCCCACCACCCCACCAACTGTAAAATAACGTGACTGAACAATTTGTGATGAATTGAGTTTTAAAACAGAAAACCTCATAAATCCAACCACTATATTTTTTGTGTTCTTCCTACTTTTTTCTTTACAATTTTATGTAGTTGTAATTATAGTAAATCCCTTTGAAGCTTATAACAAAAACGTTTTCCAATTTTTAAATCATACACTTTTAAATCAGAAAATTAGATACTTAAAACTTACAGCCTAGTGGTACAAATTCTGCTTGAGCTGTCCTAGAAAATCAAACTGGCAATTTGTTTTCATGCTAACTACATGAATTACTATCTTCATATGGCAGAGATTTTCTATTTCAGATACCTGCTATAAAGCAAAGATCAAATAGCGGTGAAGCCCCAATATCCTATCTGTTATTCTCCCTAGGAATAACCAGGCAGTGGAATGATGGAAACAGCAGAAAATATCCATGGTGCAAAACATGCAACTGTTTTTATTGTCCAACTGGATTGGGGCGTTCAAAGGCAAACGTTTTCAGTTATTTAACGTATTGCAGTGGGAGTCGCGCCCAACACAATTAAGACAGGATTACATTGCAATTTATGAGTTTCTCAAGGACATCATTTATTATGAAACATAACAATCATTTCTCCCAAAGCCTACTATCGACAATCGCACCCCCAACTCTGCTTTGCTAAAGTAATAAACTAAATGGCAACTCAGCAGGCATCCCTGGCTTTTGAGACCAACTGTGGGAAACGTGCTGCCTTCCACGAGCTCAAGTAATAATGTCACCTTACATTTAAGAGGCATACTGTTTTACATCTTTCATGCACATGATCTTTTCAGTGACTTAGTTAAGTGGCAATGGCAGGTATTTTTCCATTTTACAAAAGAGGAAACAGAATGCCAGCCCCTGGTTTCCCTGCTCAGAAGAACTAAGCCAAGAGCACCTTGAGACTTAAAGGAGTCCTATGTCTTCTCAGTACATTTGTCAATGACAAGTATTCCTTTGGTCCAGACCCCCAAAATTACACTCAGTAGGCACAGAGCCGGCACAGCAAAGGAAAGCCCCCCACCAGAGTACAGCAAAGCTTCCAGAAAGAGCAACAGTTGCTGCTGTGCAGCATCATCATGAAAGCCATCCGGCCACATCCTGCTGAAGCACCCCTAACACGACTTCAAGTGACAAGGTGGCCAAATCCACAACAAAGCAAAGCTTTCCCTCAATACTTTCATTTCTTTACATAAGCACTGGCGAAGGGACACATGTACTACGCTAGTAATGCAACACCATCAGGAGACCTGGAACAGAGGAAGTGAAAACATTCCTGCAGAAAGGAGGCGCCTCCTCCCCGCTCCCCGCTTCCCGCTTCCCAAGTGGCATCAGAACAGGGTCCAGTGGCACTCCTTTGGGGACCAACAGCTCCCCGGCGCTCACCTGGTGGGAAGCGCGACGCTCCGGAGCGGAAGGCAGAGGCCGAGCGCATCTTCCTCCTCTTCCTCCTCCCACACCGCAGCCCGGCTCTGCGGCAGCCCCCGCCTCCGCCCTGCTCCCTCCTCCCCCGCCGCCCCGCCGCGCCTGGAACCTCCCGCCCGACTTTTGACGTCACGGAGGAGGAGGGGAAGGTTCCACCCGAGCCCGTCCCTTTGTGACGTCACAATGACAACAGAGCGCGGCCCGGAGCGTCGGGGAACCGAGCGCCGCGGGGGGTGGAGGGAGGGAAGAAGGGCTGGGGCGCCGGCGCGCGGCGGGGGAAGAACCGGGGGGCGGGGAGGGGGCGCGCTGACGTCTAGCCGGCTTAACCTGTTGCTCTCGAGACTGCGTCGGAGCCCGCAGGCAGGGCCGCGGGAAGCCGGCCGGGCCGCCGCCGCCGCCATGCTCGGCCGTGCGCGCGGTGGGGGGCGCCCGCTGCAGCTGTGCGCCGCGCACCCCCACCCCGGCACGCCCACGCCCGCCCCGCGCGCTCTACCCTCCGCGCCCCGCAGGCCGCACGCCCCCGCCCCACCCGCCCGCCCGCACTCCCCGCCTGCAAAGCCGGCGGTAGCCCGGTGGCCCGCCTCGCCGCGCGCCGCAGGAGCCCGGAGTCATGCCCCCTACAGCCGCGCGCGCGGCGCGCGCCCCCGCCCCAGCCCGGTTTCACTTATGCCTAGGGCCCAGGTGGCCCTGCCTAGGCTGCGGACCCGGCCTCGTTGAACTCCTGACCTCGCGCGTCTCCTTCGCAGCCGGCTCGAGCACGTCGGGAACACCGGCTCCGCTCCCGAAGCATTAACTCGTGCCGTGCCTCCCGCGGCCGCCGCCAGCCACGGGCTTGCAGCCGGACGTCCGGACTCGGAGACACGATCCGCTGACTGCCCGCAATAAAAAAGAAAACCCACCCCACGCTGCTGTCCACCTCAACGAGGTCCGGAATGGGAGGCGGGGTGCGGTTCTCGTCCAAGTTCTACCCCATTTGCTTTGTGGCTGCATCCGAAACGGACGTGCCCCGGGAAGGCGTCTACGCTCCGAGGCAAGGTTGCCTCCGTGCAGTTTCTACAGCCTGAGTTTAAACTAGTCCTTTGCATTCTACCCAGCCCTCTGCAATGCGGATGTGTTTTAATTCTTAAATTCTTTATGGAACAGCCTTCTAAGTTGGGCTTGATTATTTAACCTTGCATTTCTTTCATAGTTGAAGTTGACGTGTCTAGATAAGGATCAGCTCTCTTGAAGAAGCATTCAGCTTTTCCATTAAATATATTTTTACAAAACCAGTGCCCCGAAGGTCATCTCTCATTACACACACCACAATGATCAAAAAGGGAAAATATTAACACCAATTTGTCTACCCAACTTAAATAAAACTTTCCTCTTACGTTGCATTATCCCTAAGGTATGTTCATTTGGCCTTTTTTGAAAAAAATGAGTTATTTAATTTAAAGCATGCCGCTGATCACAGATCACTCGAGTGCATATTTGGTTAATCGCTCGGTCCCCCCTTCCTCCCTCCCCTCAAACTTAAAAAAAAAAAAGCCACCACACACAAAACAAAAACACTCCCCATGCCAATCAAAACGTAGCTGTACTCTGCACAAAACAAATTTAACTATTCCAAGCCATTTAAATCTGTGAATAATCACCCAATTTCAGAAGCCCAGTTAACAGGGAGAAAATATTTGTAGTTACTTAAATATACATTCACGTACACACTTAAAAACATTAGCCATAGTGTGTGTCCTTTTCCCCTACAACTGGAAATCATGAATTTTTTAAACAAAACCAGCCTCATTATTAAAGTCAATCCCAACAAATGCATTCGCTGTAACATGATTCCCAACTGGTTTATGTTGTAAACCAGATAAGCCAAAACGACCACAGACGTTAAATTTGATGTGCCAATGCAAAGAGAAGATCGCCATAATCGGACCCTCCATCGCAACTTAAAGGGCTTCCAACACACATGAGTTACACGATTTTTCCAAATAACATTAATAATAATAACACAGGCTCATTTGCATGCAAAGTGCAATACGGGGCCAAATCCGCTTGAGAATGCAGTTTAGTTACATTACCGCAGCCGCCCCCCCACCTCAAGCTCCACCAAAATCCCTTGCCTTTCATCTAAAACTAGATTATGGTTGTGTCATTCGAGGTCAATTTATTCACTTGAGGTATCTCTACACCAATCTGTTTTTTCAACCAAACTAGGCAGACACCACTTCGCTTGAAAAGCCCTCTTTCAGAAAAGAAAGAAACAGCCTTATCGGACGCTGTGTTTAAAACCCTTCAGCTGCAGAATTATCTATAAACTTGACATTCACAGCCATTGCTTAAAACTGCAAGTCAAAGGATGTGTTGTTAGGAGCACTTACGTATTTCTTCTGAATGATATTCCTCTTCGGTCTTTCCTTGCTCATTCTGAGATCCAAATGCTGATTGCAAAAGGGGACAATTGCTTCATGAATTTAAAGCCGTCAGAAATTTGCAAAAAAATATCCTGGTGGTTTTTATTGTTGTTGGTGGTGGTTGATCTTGTAATCCGACTTTTCTTCCTCTTCCCCCAAAGCCAGATTCGCCTTGAAATAAATCCGAAATTGGGAAGGAAAAAAAAAGAGCCAAAGACGAACGAAGCAAACAAAAAAAAATTCACTTTAGTAAAACACTCATAATGGAAAATTTCCCCCGAAACACATACACACACACACAAAAAAAAAACCGACGCCCTTCACTCCCCCCCCTTTTTCCTCCAAAAACTACATCAGCGAAACGTGAAGGTCCTTAGTGTCTGATCCGTAGTTACATCTTGGAAAAGAAAAGGGAAAGATAAATAAAAAATGTTGGAAGTCACGTTTGTGCTGCAGCAGCAGTGCGAGCAGAAGAGTCAACTCCAGCGGCGGCGGCGGCGGCGGCGGCAGCACCACAGCGAGGGCTCGCCGAGTCTCTTTTTTCCAAGCCCCCTAACCAATGAGAGAGAGGCTATCCAGCCCAACTTTAAATGGACTCTGCTTTTATACAAGTTAGGGCTCCTCGGATAATTCCCCGCCGGGCGCCAGCCGAAAACTCCCACCGCTCAGCCGCCAGGCGCCCGCTTAGCCCGGTGCCGACCGCCCCTGGCCCAGTCCAGGGCACCCCCGCAGCCTGGCCAACCAGACACCCGAGCGACCTCGACGAACCCCTCCCAGGCAAGCCCTCGGGCGTCGCTCCCACGCCGAGCCCAGGCGTGGAATTGAGAGAGGCTCCCTAGCTCAATGCATGGCACGCTCCGTCGCTCCACCTCACCCCCTTTCCCCTGCCTGCTGCTCACCCCACGACCGCCCCACGCCAGCCCCCGCCACTGCCTTCGCGTCTACCTGCAGCCGGGCTGCTGGGTAGGAGTGCCCCAGGACGCCCGGCCCCGGGGAGAGCCGCCTATTCCCGGGGCACCTTAGAATGGTCCCCTTGATCTTCTGGAAGTTGTAGTCCCCCGACTACAAAATGGCTATGGCCACGGAAGCTGGGAACTACAATTCCCAGCCTGCCCCGCAAAGCCTGTCACTCAACTCCCCTCCCTCCTCCTCGCCCCCTCCCCCTCATCGGCCGTGCCAACAAACGCTTGGACGTGTCCCGCGTGCGACACTGCTAGAGGCTGGCTCGGGATTGGCCCGCGGAGCGTGTGGTCCGCGAGCGAGGAACTCCCCACGCCGGCCCCCCTCCGCCCCCTGGGCCCCGGCCCCCCTCCCCTGGCGGCCGCCGGCCCCCTCCCCGCGCGCCCCGCCCCCACCCGCGGCGCGAACCGCCTGTGGAATCGAGGAATCGCGCGCGTGCGGCCCGGAGCCGCGGGGGAGGGACGCGAGGTTTCCCCGGGGAAGGCCTCGGAGCGTGGCGGCGAGGGGGGCGGTGTCAGGGAGGGGTTGGAGCCCGTCCTAAGGAAAACTGGGCCACGCACCAAGAGGAATCCTCGGTGCGAACTAGTTGATCGGCGGCGCCTGCTGCTTGTGCCGTGCAGCCGGTGTCACCTCAGGACAGCGCCTCGCGTCTGTGTACAGAGCGTGCTGCGGGCGCCTAGGGTAGTCCGAGGTCACTCCTCTCCGCGCCCCGCAGCCGCGCACGCCCCCACGCGCGGGGTGGGCGGTGGCCAGGGGTCGCCAGTGTAAGGGCCACGCCCCCCCACGCCCGAGCTCGGCACGCGGCCCCTCGGTCGCGAACGCGTTTCCGCCCGACCCGCTTGGGGGACGTTGCTGATGGGCCAGGAGTGAAGCCCTGGCGGCTGCCTCCTGAGAAAAGATAGCCGTGTTTAAAGAAACTGAACGGGATCTTTGCTTTGCCGGGCGTATTTGGTGATAAAATACCACGAAATGTTGAGGCAAAAATGAGTGGAATATGGAGACCAAGCCGCACAGAAACGCAGCTGTAAGGAAGCATCTCGAACACCTAGTGCCAGTAATATCAACTGCCGGGGCCACACGAGAGCCTGCTTTTTACCTGCCTCCAGCCCCCTGACGTGCAGGTTTAATCGCTGAAACAAATGAAGTAGCAGGCCCTTGCGTAGCGCTTTGGGCCTTCGCCTTATTAACAACTTTGTCAAGTCTCGCATCGCCATTCTGCCTTGTTAATTTCCTTGTTTTTCGCTGCGGTTTTGGAGAAGCAATGTTTTCCATGATCTCTCAGGCTAGCCTCGGAATAAAACGTGGCAGAAGCGCTCCCTCGAGCACATACCCATATATTTTACTCTACCCATTCCCTAGAGTCTGCTTACTTCAAAAGTCTAGATACTCGGGTAACACAGCTATTTACTTGCAGCAGTATTTGAAGAGATAACCTTGGTGTCTAGAAAGGTCTCAGAAACTGGAGGTAAGAGACCTGGATTCAAATCGCACCTTGGCCACTTCCCAAAAAGGCAACTGAGAGCCACTCTGAGCTGGTCAGTTTCCTCATCTGCAGATTAGTGGTGATCAAACCTGTGGGGAGGCTTGTGTGATAAATAACATTAACGTAGTTTAACACTAGGCACGTTATTGGAAGCTTTCAGTAAACTAAATAAAAATCCTTTTCGAAAGGGTTTTTTAAATTATTTTTACCTTTTCAAAAAATCTGAAATGAAATAATTTCATCTAATGTTCACTTCACAATCGGAAAAATAAATGATCTTTTGTGCCCTGAATACTGCAAAACTTGTTCCCTGGTGCCATTTCCTGGGAAGGATCCAATGGGGCAGACTCCAGTAGGGCCACCCAAGGTGTTTTCTAAAAACTTTCTGATCATTAGGACTGGCATACTGGGAATCTCCACGTCTCCACGTTGTTAAGATTTTAACCAGCTTTCTCTAGGTTTCACTCAGATATCTCATTCCCCAGGCAAATATTAATGAACAAAGGTGGGTTTCTTTTCAGTTCCCCTAACTAGCCCTGGAGCCTGGACTTCTCAGTCCTGGCCGTGCGAACTCCCCTGCCAGGTTACCAGCTCCAGGTCACCTGGTGTGAAAAACCATTGTGTGAAGTTGAGGCCTCAGGGCAGGGGAAAGGAAGGAATTTGCTCATTTCCAAAAGGTTTGAATAATATTAGTGTTGTTTTCCCTGAAAGAGAAAAAAGATTGGCCTTCTTAGTGGTTGCAAGTTTTTCCTGTTGTGAAAGTAACCTACTCCTAATGAACTTCCTTCCCCTACCATCTTGGCAAGGCCATCCAAGGCTTTTCTTGCTTTTTCGTCCTCTTTTTCATTTTCTGTAAGTCAAATGCACCTTTTCTCCTGATGATTTTCACATCTCAAAGCCTTGACCTCTTCAATTGGAGGGGCAGGGATGAGAACATGTCTAGGTACATTGATTCTATTAGACTCTATGCCAGCACTGTCCTCATCCCCGAGGACACAGGAAGCTCACAGCTCAGTAAAAAAAGGCATAGTTTACAATGGATTGTGATACCTCCAAAAAGTACTACATCAGCAATGTAGAAAAGAAGCTAAAAAGAACACATAGCTGAAATGACTAGGTGTTAAGGAGTTTTGAAGTATCTGTAGGGGTTCACATATACACTTGAAGAAAGTGCATATTTCACCCCTTTGCATTGCATCCTATTTACATTCTCCACTTTTAATGTTTCTAGTTCTTCTCTCCAAATAAAAAGGAAATTCCCTAAAGTCAGAGATGATGTTGTCTACTTTTCATACCCTCCAAAGCTCCAAAAACTTCATCAAATTTGAAAGGTGTCCAGTAAATGCTTACTGTTGGATATTTCACCAAAACTATAATGCCCAACTATTTAGACTATTGCCCAACATTTAGTCTCCTACCATCTTCCGTTCCATTCTGGAACTCTGCTAGTTTTCCTCTTGCATTATCTAAATCCAACGTAGTGTTATACATTCTTCAAGGCCCCAAATTCAGGCCCATTTCCAGTTCAGCCTGACTGCTTGGCATACTCATTCCTGGATTCTCATTGCCCTTCCTATTTCGGCCACAATTTTTGAGCTTTAAAATTTTATTCTGAGGCCAAGTGTGGTGACTCACATCTGTAATCCCAGCACTTTAGGAGGCTGAGACAAAAGGATCACTTGAGCTCTGGAGTTTGAGACCAGCCTGGGTGACATGGTGAAACCCTGTCTGTACCGAAAAAAAAAAAATACAAAAGTTAGCCCAGCGTGGTGGCCCAGGCATGGTAGTGTGCCCCTGTAGTCCCAGTTACTTGGGAGGCTTAGGTGGGAAGATGGCTTGAGCCCAGGAGGCTGACGTTGCAGTGAGCTGATATTGCACTATTAACACTCCAACCTGGGTGACAGAAAAAGACCCTGTCAAAAAAAAGAAAAAAGTTCTCCATTGTATTTTTTTCTGATTATGTCATGTAAATATCTTGTATCTCTTAAATTGAAAATTTGCTGGGGCCATGATTTGTCTCATATTGAGGTAGCCATTGGCAATGAGGGAATCAGATGTTTCTAATATTAACTCTCTGAGTCACCTTATGCCATTCACCTGCCTCATATAGGCCTTGGGTCCATCATCTATAAAATGAGCCTGTTAGACTGGGTGTGGTGGCTCACACCTCTAATCCTAGCACTTTGGAAAGCCAAGGCAGAAGGATTGCTTGAGCCCACGAGCTTAAGACCAGCCTGGGCAACATAGCAAGACACCATCTCTACAAACATAAAATTAAAAATTAGAGGGTTACATTCAATTATTCCCAAAGACATTTCTACACGCAACATTCTCTAGTCCTACCTTTACCTTTGTACTGTGCTGCTGTTCCCCCTCAGTGCTGGCCCCTAAGTAAACTCAAATCCACAATCATTCAGTAAAAGTTGCTAGGTTAAGGTTCTTTACACTTGTATGTTATTAATTTCCAATATCTGTGCTATCTAATGACAGCTTTCATTTGTATAACT